ATTGGGACAGTGTTAGACTTACTCACCGATGTCAGACAAAGCCATTCATAATAATCCCATTAGCTCAGATGACAATTAGTTCCCGAATGAACATTTAAGGCAATGTGGACCAGTATTATGTGATTAAATTTTAATTGTTAGATTATTTTTAAAGGGCATTCTGTAGTCTTCTGAAGGAAACTTCATCTTCCTGCATTCAGATGTTGTCCTGCAGTGGATAGAGTCACAGCCATCTGGGGATTAGCTAGTCCTAGATCTTGTGTGAGTCACCTCATCTCTCTGAGACTCAGTTTCCCTCTCTCTAAAACAAAACATTGGCCAATGGCTCCAAAGTTCTTTTCCATCTCGGGAACATGTTGGCTTTTACCAGCAGATGGGGAAAGTATGCACTTCCAAGGACAAAAAAAGGGATTTCTTGTAAATTCATAAGACTGTTGCAGAGGTTCCACAATTCCCTTTGTATGCAACAACTTTTAAATTTTATTGGGTGTCAGACAGAAGAAATCACTCAGTTTAGGATGACTACCAAAATATACAGCTTAATGTACCAGGTCAAATTATTTTCAGTTTTGGCTGCTCACGATTCTATAATTGCAAGATGCTATGAAAATCAACAGTCTCTAAAGAATCAATTTTTAAAAACTAGCCTAAATACTGTAAATGTCTACTTGTCCATGAAAAATTTATTAGTAAAACTTTAAAAGTCTTTACCCTAGGCCTAGGAAAATGGATGGGTAGATGGGCAAAATACCTTTTCTATAAACATGAGGATCTGAGCGGGATCCTTAGCACCCATGTAAGAAGCCAGGTGTGAAGGAGAAAGCCTGTATCACCGATGCTGCAGAGGTCAAGACAGGCAAAGCCCTGGAGCTGACTGGATAGCCAGTCCCAAAGAATGAGAGACCCTGTGTCACAAAATACAATGTGGAGAGAACATAATGGAAAGATCTAACACACAGACACATACACAGTTTGTGTATCACCTGAGTTATTATAACTCTTTTTTCTTTTTCTTTTCTTTTTGTTTTTGTTTGTTTTTTTTTTTGAAACAGGGTTTCTCTGTGTCTTTGGAGGCTGTCCTGGAACTCGCTCTTGTAGACCAGGCTGGTCTGGAACTCACAGAGATCCGCCTGCCTCTGCCTCCCGAGTGCTGGGATTAAAGGCATGTGCTACCATGCCCAGATTTATTATAAGTCTTTAGAAGTGAAAAACAAAAATCTCAGCAATTCTGAAGAGGTCAGAAAAAAAACAAATCACAATTTTGACTTTTATATTAAAGTGCATATTGTACATATATATATATACATATATATGGAGAGAGAGAGAGATGATAGATGATAGACAGATAGATAGATTTGTGTCAAACTTGGGTTTTAATAATGGGAGCACTCATCTATGTTTTCTAGAGTACCTAACTCAAATTCTGTAAAACAGACATCATTTTTTGAGTATTTACTCATTAAACCCCTGATGCTCCACATCTGATTTTTTTAAATGAAATTTTGGTTGGCACAAAAACTCACCCTATCCGGTCTTATGATAGATAGCTTTAGAGAAATCTTTGTTAGATTCCCAAGGCCTTGAGCCACACTGCCAAAGCACAGGCATGACTCCAGACCTCCTTCAACAATTACTCACAGTCTGCCTACTCCTGGGGCTGAAAAAGGCCTCAGAACCACAAAATTGAGGCAGCACTGATTGTTCATTTTTTTGTAACTCCTTAAGGACTATTTTTCAAGTTGTCAAGATCTCCAAAGCCCTATAAAACATCATGTTTCTGCCAACATAAGCTTTAGGTAAACACAAAAAAAAGTGAAATTCATTTCTGGAAACTGTGAAACCCTTTTTGCTCTCACAAATATTTGGTTCTGATCATTCCAAATGTAAAATTCACTAGGCTAAACATTTCCAAACAGCACCAAAGGTTAATGTCATGAATCAGTTCATTAAACAGTCTTCTCAACTCTTGTACACACTGAAGAAGCCCCAGCTAGTTGACTGGATTTAGCTGAGTGGAGCATCTCAGCCTCTACTAAGAGCCACAAGAGGCAGCACACAGATGAAAGCCCTGGCCCTTGAAAGGCTGTGGCAGCAGGATCTTTGGGTTTGAGTCTAGCCCTGATGATATGATGAATTCTTAACCAGGATGAGCTACCAAAAACAAACAAACAAACAAAAATATCATCTAACTCAACCAATCAATTTCTGCTACATTTCTGGTGTTAACCACTTGTGATTCTCGTGAAATCATAAAACATTATTTCCTTGAAAAATAGCCTCTGAGTGGGCAACATGTGTCTGGCCCTGATTAATAAACACAAAGGAGATTTTTTTAATGCTTGGCATTGGGGTTTTTATTAGATAGCCTGTATGTGTTGGGGGAAGCATGATCACCCTGTGACATACAACTCCATTTAAACTATATACATATATGTATATAGTAATTATATGCTTTATGCTTGTGTATATTCTGGGTAAGCTTTAAAATGCTTTCCTGTGGCTTTTTCAAGCATCCTTAGTGTTATATTTTTTCTTCTTTCTCTGTCTCCCTCTGTATTGTGTCCCCTCTTCCCTGCCTCAATTAAATCGCCCTGCATAAAGACCCTGAGGATTGACAGCCTGGATGTGGGTGGGGAGAATTTCACAAGGCCCTACCATTAATGGATGAACATCCACAAACAGTCAATCCCTGCTGGGAGGGAGGATCCGTTTTCTCCAGGGAGAGCCCCCTGATTGCTTACCTAATTCAAAGCGATCAGGCCTCATAAACACATGAGCGGCACTATGTGGGCTCAGTAGGTTGCACACGTGTGTGTGTGTGTGTGTGTGTGTGTGTGTGTGTGTGTGTGTGTGTATGACAGCAAGAAAGAAGAAAAGGACGTGTCCGAGAAAGAAAGAGAGAGAGAGAGAGAGAGAGAGAGAGAGAGAGAGAGAGAGAGAGAGAGAGAGAGAGAGAGAGAGAGAGAGAGAGAGAGAGAGAGAGAGAGAGAGAGAGAGAGGCAGAAGGGACGTGGGAGTAGTTGGAATGGAGAGAGAGGGATGGAGATGATGCAAATGCACCGCTAACGTAAGTGTTGCTGTAATGATGAACAGCACACTTGTTGAGGGTATGGGTAACTGTTTACTGCAGAAATTACTCACGAGGGAAACCGGGCAAGTCTTCCTCTACCAAATGAAAGCCAAAAAGAGAGCGAGCCCCCTGCTGTTCAGTCTTTTATTCCTTCCTCCGTACACGCCCCTAGCCACGCCCAAAAGTGGACCTGGTTAGTGGTGTAGTTCACCGCCCTGTCTCTAGTCATGCCCAAAGTGGGTGTGGTTAGCGGCGCAGTTCCGCCCTTTCGTTACCACATCCATATGTGTCTTTAGAGCGCCACATGGCTAATGGCGCAGTCCTAAGATTCCCCCTACAGTACAGAATTGTCAAAAACTGAAAATAGGTTAATTAGAAGATCAGGGAGCCTGCCCACGGCACTTCTTCACTCTCTCTGATCCCTTAGATCCAATCCCTCAGGCTCCTTCCTGTCACTGCTACAGCTACCCTTCTCCTCTGTCCACATCTACTGTGGATCCTACAAACCATCTCCCCCTACCTCCCTCCCACTACTAGTCACTGTTTTCCTGAGCCCAATTTAGGCAGACACTACCTGCTCAACCACAGGCCACACCTGCCAGAAAACCAGGTAGTCTTCCTGCAGACCTTCTCCACTCTCTGTCTTCCCTTAGACCAAATCCCTCAGGCTCTTTATCCTAAAGTTGCAGCACCAGCAGGCATTCCTTGCGTACACCCTAGCCAAGCAGGCCAGTAAAGCAGGCGACACACAGCCATCACACTCTCTGAAAATTGAAGGAAGGAATGGAAACCAACAAAGACAATCCCATAAATCATCCCCACACCTATAATCCCCCCAAACCTAGATGCCCACACACCAGCTTACACAACTAGGACAATGTATCTGCAAATCTGCAGTAGAGCCCAGCTATCCTACTACAGTGGGGCCTGAATATTATTAAAAAGCTGAAATACAAGAAAAAGACCTAAAAACAAACTATATGAAGATGGATCCTTAAAGAGGAAATTAATAAATCCCTTAAAGAAAGCCAAGAAGAAGAAAAAAAAACAGCTGAAGGAAATGAATAAAACTGTTCAAGACCTGAAATAGAAACAATAAAGCAAAACACAAAATGAGGGAATTCTGGAAGTGAAAAATTCAGGAATTTGAACAAGAGCTGCAGAGGCAAGCTTCACCAACAGAGTACAAGAGATGGAAGAAAGAGTCTCAGACACTGAAGATACAATAGAAAAATAAATATGCACCAGCCAAAGAAAATGTTAAATCTAAAACATTTTTGACACAACACATCCCAGAAATCTGGAACACTATGAAAAGACCAAACCTAAGAATAATAGTAGTAGAGGAAGAAGAATCCCAGCTCAAAGACCCAGAAAATATTTTCAGCAAAATCATAGAATACATTTTTCCTTACCTAAACAAAGGCATGTCTATAAAGACACAAGAAGCTTACAGAACATCAAATACATTGAACCAGAAAAGAAAGTCCCCTGGCACATAATAATTATAACACTAAATGTAAGAACAAAAACAAAAAAGGAATGAAGAATATTAAAAACTGCAATGGAAAAAGGCCAGGCAATATATGAAGACAGAGTAATAAAATTACACCTGACTTATAAATGCAGACTCTAGATGGAGAAAATAAGATAATCCATGACAAAGTCAAATTTAAGTAATATCTTTCTACAAACCCAGACCTACAGAAGATTCTAGAAGGAAAACTCCAAGCTAACAAAGTAAACTACACCCATGAAAGCACATGAAATAATAATCTCACATCAAGAAAACCAAAAGAAAGGATCTCTCTCTCTCTCTCTCTCTCTCTCTCTCTCTCTCTCTCTCTCTCTCTCTCTCTCTCTCTCTCTCACACACACACACACACACACACACACACACACACACACTCATAGACACACAATAACACAACCAACAAAAACAAGTAATAGGCATCAACAATCACTGGTCACATCTCTCAATATTAGTGTCTCAATTCCAAATGGAAAGATACAACCTAGCAGAATAGATGTGATTGTAGGGTAAATAGGCCAGCCAAAAGAATCTACTCTGGCCATGAAACCAGACGTAGTGAAAGAAAATCATCCTGTCCATAAAACCAGAGATAGTGAAAGAAACACTTTAGCCCTGAACCCAAAACCCAAGAAATACACCCTGACCCTGAAACCAGAGTCAAAGAAACACTTTGGCCATGGAACCACAGACAACTCTGCCCCTGACCGACAGAACATGAAACCAACCAATCTCTGAACAGGAAATCTAACACCCTGACCCTAAATCCAGAGCCAGTGGAAAGAAACACACCCTGGATCTGAAACCCAAGTCAGTGAAAGAAACACTTTAGTCCTGAACCCAGAACCTAAGTAATGCACCCTGACTCTGAAACCAGAGACAAAGAAACACACTTTAGCCCTAGAACCAGAGGCAGTGAAAGTATGTGTTAGCCTTGAAAATAGAGCCAAAAGGCTAAAAAGGGACAGTGAAAGAAAACCCTCGACATCAATATAGATATTACTTCAGGGTAAAGGGTTGGGAAAAGATACTCCAAGCACATGGAGCTAAGAAGGAAGCTGGTGTAGCCATTTTAATACCCAGCAAAACAGACTTCAAACCAAAACTCATCAAAATGAATGTAGAAGGGAACTGGACACCCATCAAAGGAAAATCCACCAAGATGACATTTCAATTTTTAACATCTGTGCCCCAACACAAGGGAAGCCAAGTTTGTAAAAGATACACTACTACAGCCTAAATCACATATTGACCCTCATACATTGACCCTTAAACACCGATAGTGGGAGACCCAACTTTGTCCAGTGGACAGGTCATCTAGACAAAAACTAAACAGGGAAATACTGGTGCTAACAGACATTATAAACCAAATGGACCTAACAGATATCTACAGAATATCTCACCCAACCAACAACCAACTCATATAAATTGACTCAAAGACAGAACTAGCATGATTGTTACAATAGATGCAGATAAAGCTTTGGGACACAATTCATGATAAAACCCCTTTACAATAAAATTCCTAAAGAAACTGGGAATAGAATGAGCGTATCTAAATACAATAAAGGCTGTATATGATAACGGTCTTACAAGTCAACATCATTTGAAATAAGGAAAACTCAAAGTGTTTCCAATATAATTAAGAACAAGATTATCTACTTTTACCATTCTTCCATTATAAGCTATGAAATCTTGAAGGGATAAGACAAGAAATAAAACAGATAAAAGTAGGAAAATGTGCCCTTATTTACAGATATCATTCTATGTAAGGGACCCTAAAGACTCTGCCAGAAAACTCTTAAACGCTTTCAGAGAAATGGCCAAAGAAAGGCTGGTAGTATTACATATTAGTAAAAAAAAACACACTGGGAAAGAAATCAGGGAAATAACCTCACTTAAGTGCCTTAAAAACTACCTTGGAATAACAGGCAGGTCAGTGGCTTTCTCCTCGTTCTCTTTTTAACTCATGGACTCCAGCCCATGGGATGGTGCCACCCACACTGAGGATGAATCTTACATTCTTAGCTGAACTCCTGTAGAACTGCCCTCACAGACGTGCCCAAAATCATGCTTCACTAAGGCCTACATATTTGTTAATATAATCAACTTGACCCTCAAAATTAACCATCATATGTAGTCAAGTTGACAACCAATAACAGCCATCACACCTCTTATGTGTGTGGGCGCTTGTGGTGTCCGCCTGCAGTACTAACACACACTGAGGCAGACAGAGAGCCCCAGGTTCACTGTATTTATAGTATTTTTTAAGATAAAAGGGTACTGAATTTGCCAAGTAATTTTTTGGATAAACTGTAATAAATAGGTATTTCTCCCCTTTATTCTTTCAATGTGTTGTATTATATTGGATGGTTTTCAAAGAGTGAATTGCTTTCATATCCCAGGAACAAATTTTACTCGTGCATGTACTGTGACACTCTTATTATGCTGATTAACTTACTTTGCTAGTATTTTCCTTTTTCTTTTTTAAAATCAATGTTTATATGAGATACTGTTCTGTAGTTTCTTTTCCCTCTTTGATACCTTTGCCCTCAGGGTAATGTTGGTCTGCTCAAACTTCATCTGAACACATCATCTATCCTGAAGAATGTACCTTGTGCCCTTGAGAAGAGGTATATGGTATTTTTATTGAGTTGAGTGTTTTGTTTATCTGCCATGGAATTCTATGCCATGTTTCCTTATTTATCCTCTATCTGAAATTTTATCTGTTGTTGATGGTTGTGTGTTAAACTCTACAACTGAAGTTTTTTCTAATGCTCTCAGTTTTGTTTATGTGTTTGCATGGATTGCTATTTGTATAAATGTTTACTATTGTTAAATTTTCTTGAAGATTTAACCTTTTATCAGCATGTAGATATCCCTTTTGCATTTTTGAAAGTCTTGTATTTAAAGTATAGTTTGTCTGATAATAGGGTAGGTGTCCCTGTTTTCCTTTGGCCTCTGTTTTCATTGAACAACATTTTTAGCACTTTTTTTATTACTTGTAACCATGATAAAAGAAAACCACTTCTAAGAACATAGGGTTAGGGTGCAAATGAAAATTGTATTACAATTCTCTAAAGATAGACATGTCTTGATTTTTCCCAAGTAGTTCTTCAAGAAAGCATTGATTCTACCAACCACTCCAGACTATTCTTTTGCCGTCAGAAATGTAAAGAAAAATAATCAACACACTGATTTAAATAATAAACCCTGTCTGCAGCTGTAGCCTGCAGCAGAGTACACGAGGCCTCGTGTTTAGTTTCCAGCATCCAAAGACATTAGTAACTAGTGCTTCGGGTGGTTACATGAGATCTCTCCCTACACCCTGTAGTATTTGTCAGTACACATCCAAAAGACACGTAGGCTGCTGTCTGGTGGATAAAGAATGGAAAAAAGGAGGGGAGATGCTATCGTTCTCAATCCAGTTGCGAAGCTTTCGTCCTGTCTTTATCATGTGCTCTAACATCTCAGCCGTCAATACCGGAAGAAACCTCACTTCCCCCAGTGAAGTTAAGAGTTACTGAAGCAAGTTCTCTAAGCGCTCTAAAGCCCCATGACACTAAGAGAAAATACTCCAGGAGGCCGTGGACAGCACTCTGACTGATGCAGGATGCATGAAATGCGTGCTGTCTCAAGGTCTTCCCTAGCAAGTCCTCTGATTTACTGCAGCTGACAGTGTGTTTGCACAGCCATGAAATCTAGAAAATAGGGAAAAAATAAACAAAGCTCACAATATATCTCTCTAGTAGGCCTGGTTCCAGTACTAATTCCTTCACCTACTGCCTATGTGACTTTCTGTCTGACTCAGTACCCTTGTGGGGAACAAAGGCAACTAAAGTTTATATCATATGGTAAGACTGTGAAATTCAGCTCCTGAATACATGTAAATATTTCAAAAGAATGCCTGCCTTCATAATTAATAATGCCAGTGATATTATTAACGATTGTTTGTGACTTATATGCAAGTATAGTGTACAATAAAGTGTTCCATTTACATTAGCAATGGATAAGAAGATTACGGGTGATACTTAAGTTTGCAAATGACGCAAAGTTTTTACCAGCCAGAAATAGGCTGATGTTAAAATCATTGTCTTTCTTATAAACCTCAACACAAACATTTATTTTTCTGAAATTTTTGGCTTTCTAGTTCCCACAGTCTCTTTCATAATTACCCATTACTCTCCTCTGTCTCTTAAATGAAAGCAGTCATTAGCAGACTCAAATGGATGGGTGCGGTTGTGTTGCCTTAAAAGTCGTTTCAACTCCCTTCATAATTGAGTGCCCCGATGAAGTAAACATTCCTCTCACTCTTATGACCTAAATACTTTCATAATAAAAAAGTTTTTTAATTGTTTATGAAATACAATATCTCACCTGGTATGTTTCTCAGTGATAAATGATACAAATTTTGGTTGTAGTGAAGTTACAAAGGAAAATATTAAATATTCTTTCATTTAGTCATTTTTTGTTACTCTAAACCTGTACCTTATTCAATACCAGTTCTCATGCCTGAAACTCTCAAGTGCTGTCACTGTCTTTATACAAATGTATGTGTATACACACTTTTTCTCATTATTCTAATGTGTATAAAAAACAAAACATTTAGTATTTAAACTCAACTTTAGCTCCCTTTGCTCTAGCTAAGACACCCTAAGATTTGGCCTAACTCTTCTTATACAATTTACGCCAAGGACATCACTCTGCAGCAACAGCATTCATTATGTTTTGTACCTTGAGTACTGATTTTTTCTTATTTAGTTAGTGTCTAAAACGTCATATAGTACAATAATCAAGGATTAAAATATTAATTGAGCTGTATTTGTATTTTACTAATAAAACAATTCAATCACACAGTGACTCCTTCCAGGGTCCCATTCATGTTTCTAACATTTAAACGTACAAACAGCTCCTAGAGTAAGCTGTAAATATAGCAGAAACATACAATCTAGGGTCATAAAAAGAAATAGGTAAACTGTGGTTGTTTAAAGTACATGTTTCCTTCATCTGTTACCTTCACTCCATCAGGCCAAACAATGTTCCTGATTATTTTAATTTCAGGTCTAGTAATCCTATTATATACTGGACGTGATGTAAATGCTATGCCAGACACAGAGGAATAAGAAAAAAGTCAGCTAGGGATCATGATACTGGTGGTTTCGTTATAATCCGGGAGGAGTTTTGGTTTTTGTTTTGTTTTGTTTTGTTTTGTTTGTTTTTTCTTAATGTCTTTGTCAGCTATTCCTCTCTCCTGAAGACTGCTCCCCTGCCATCCACTCAGCCTCCTCTACTCCATAACATAGGAACGAGCTTCCTAGCTAGAGGAATCTTATATTTAATAAATAACATGTGCCCCCATCACATGCACAAATTGTGATGCTTGGTCAACAGGGGGCACTGTGAACAAGAACTCCCAGCTTGAAGAAGCCGTCTTCAGAGACTGCTACAGTACAATTATCCAGGATTAAAACTCAGCTGACTAAGGAGAACTATAGTGATGTGGGGGAGAGGGGATATTGCCTGTCCGGATGCTAATTATGCTATCTCAGGCTGGCTTTGTCAACATGAACGGCCATGCCTCGTTCACCTTTGCGTTGGAACTAACACGCTTTCACTAGGAGATTGAAAACCTTTGGAGTCTATTAAGTTAGCAACCAGCCGGCTGCCCCCTGCTCACAAGCTAAAAATACCATCAGAGAAATAGCATCAGAGACCTATAGAAAAGCTCCCTCCATTTTGTTTTAACCCCCTCTCTGATGCACTCAATAATGTATTTTAAACTTGCATAGTTTTATGACATTCTTTGATTCCTAAATTTGCAAATCTTTGTAAAATTGTCTCTGTGTCCCTGGGTCAAAACCACTCAAATATGTAAAAAAAAAATCTCTTATTCCCTTAAAAACATGAAAAGCCTGTTTAGAAAAAGTCTCCAAAATAAAATCAAGACATCTTTCAAAGTAATTGTTATTTTCAATCTCATGAGGAAAGATGTGAACATGTCGCTTTAATTTTAAAAATTACACTTCCAACCAAAAAAACCTCCAATTACCACATTCCTCAGGACAAGAAGATGCTGCTCCCGGAGATGGAAGACAGTGCCAGCTGGGCAACAAAGACATCACGCTGGGCACAGAGATAAGCTACACCAGGGTGGTGAGTGGCACCCCAGGCTGTTAAGCGGCATCCGTCCTGTGAAGGACAAAGAACACTTATTTCTGAGAACATGCTTGATGAAGTTTTAGTTCTTAAAACTGATGACTTACAAATGTTAAAAAAAAAAAAAAACCTCTTCTGTATGAAGGGCAGCAGCATCCAGAATGCCCCGGCGTGAGCAAGAACAATGGGCAGGAGTATCATCATCTAAGAAAGGAAAACATGAAAAGGGGAGAGAAAACTACACCAGGTTGGAACAAAGACCTATTCCTATAGTTGACTATGACCACGATGGTTTACCTCTCCCAAATGAAAAGATAGAAAACCTAAATTTAATATCAGAGCTGCTCTGTGTACCATTGCGGTGATGGCATGTAGTTTGCACCATTGTTCTGTTCTTCAGATCTGGACATACTGAGATAACACCTCTGAAAGTTTGCAGCTTAAATGGGCCGTGTGAAAACACCGTGCAAGCCAGGGTCTCCCTGCACTACGCATTCCTCTGCTTGGTATCAGAACACTATCATCTCAATCGTTAAACATTCATTGCATCGAATTCTGTATTAGTCAGGGGTTCTCCAAAAGAACGGAACCAGTAGAATACTTATCCAGCACGGTCGGGAGACTTCCTGGATTGGCTTTCAGGGTATAAACTGAATAGTCCAACAACACTGCCCACACACTAGAAAGGCAGAAAGCCCATTAACGGCCCAGGCAACAGAGCTGAATGCCCAAGGAGTTCCGATCTTGTGCTAAATCCTGAAGGATTCCTGGAGAGCCGCCCGTCTTCAGTCCACATTGAGAAATGGAAGAGGCCAGTACCGATGTCAGCATCGGCAGTAGCTGCAAGAAGATAGATGCCTTCATCATCAGGGTGTGAACTTGGGCAAGCCAAACAGCGGCGGCCTTTCGGCGCTTTGCATCAGGAGATGCTGCCTGTCCTGGGGGACAGTCTTCTCCCCTCCCTTAACCTTCCGAGAAACGATTTCCCAGACCTGCCGTGAGGTACCTCCCAAACCAGCCAACTTGAGAGTCCTGAGTAACCACAAACCACAAACGCCTGGAGGCTACAGATCACTATAAAGTCAGGAGCTTGAATCTGATACTAGAAAACAGACTGGAAGATTCACAGGCACAGGCGCTCTGACTTTCGTATCTCTGAACCTTCAATGCCCAAACAGAAGTTGAATAACGCATCAAAGTCTGTGATACGTAACTACAGTGAAATGACTATGTATTATTTAAATATTTGTGCTATAGGGTGCATCCAGCCACTTTCAATCTATCCAGTGGCTTCACACGGCTCTCCATGAAAACACTCCTCCAGGAACAAGCGAGAACAAGAGAGATGGCTCTGTGTTTAAGAGAACCTGGGTTTAACTTCCAACACCACATGGCGGCTCATCCCATGCTGTCTGTAACTCCAACTCTAGGGGTCCTGATACCCCTTCTTACTTCGTGGGCACCACCCACGTGTGCACAGAAGCGCATACAGACAAAAACACCCATACACAATGAATATGACAATAACAACAACAATCATCATCCCTCTTCCGGGGCCTGAGAGACCGCTCAGTGGTTAAGATACTTGCACCAAAGCCCGACGGCTTAAGTCGTCTGGGACCCACGTGTCAGAAAGGAAGAACTGGATCCCATAATCTGTTCCTCTAACCTCCGCATACGCACCTGGTGCGCGTGCCTCTCCTCCACACAGCACAAAAATGATTGCAGCGGAAGACACCGAGGATGGAGGAATGTCTCAGCGACTGAAGGATCGTGCGTCCCTCCCACGGGAGCTGCATTTGGTTCCCGGCGTGGCTGTGGTGCCTGCTTACAGCCACACAGAAATCCAGTGCCAGGGGATCTGGTGCCTCTTGAGAACACCTAGCCTCGTATGCTTATATCCACACAGATACGCATCCATATATAATTCTAAAAAATAAAATAATTGTTTTTGAAAAGCCACAAAGAAAACTTGACACTCCTCCAGGAAATTGCATTTTGCTATGTGGACAGGTGAGAATCACACAATCGTCACGGTCAGGATCGGTGTCCAGAATTGACAGTGACTACTGATAGCTAAATCTTCTCTGTCATATACGTGTGTGTGTGCATTCATCTGCACACATGCACATACATAAGAACAAACGTACACATGCTTCACCCTTGTTCTTTTTCTTCTCGTATAATAAGCGGGAAAAAATGTAGAATTTTTCCATATGAGATGCCTTCCTTTAAAACAACCCTTGCGAATGCTGAGAGCTGCCTGTGGTTTAACCGTGCATGTGTTTATAAGGTCCCCAAAGTTTAGACTCATCAAATTAGTCTCTCTCACCTGGGGACAAACTAAATTGTGTTTAGAAATCATAGGATGCTGATGAGACTTTGGAAGACAAGAAAATAAACCACAGAATTCCAGCCTTCCTTAAACCAATAGTTACTTTTTGTAAACCTATCAGCTGAGGTATAGTATGCATGCATATTATGTAACCTAAATATACAAACAATTGTATACTATATCACACATATGATATATAATATATTATGTATTAATAACTACTAACATAATATATCATAGTAACAATGCATTTTATATAATGTATAGTATATAACATTATCATTAATATAATATATATGTTATGTATTGCAAATATGTATTTAATATAGCTTTAGTTGTAAAATTCAGACTTTTCTATGTCATATGTATATATGTATATATATATATATATATATATATATATAAGCTGAATAACTTACCAGGATTAGAACTGTGAAGACAAATTAGTAAACATCTTGTGTTGGGCCCCAAAACACTGTACTCCTAGAAACAGAGACATATTATAGTTTTGTAATTAATTTTATTTCTTTATCATATAGGGCTGGAGAGACAGTTCAAAGGTTAAGAGTCTGTACCTTTCTCCCAGAGGACTCAATCTGGAGTCCAGCACCTGCGTCGGTCAGCTCACCACTGCTTTTAACTCCAGCTCAGAGGGTCCTGCACCGTTGTCTGCCTCCATGAGAACTTCTGTTCATGCGCACACACCTCTACACAAAACACACATGTACTAACACGATTGAAACTAAGTTTCTTAAAGTTTCATTGAAAATCTTTACAAAATTTAATAGATTATAAAATACATTTTATACATAATGCTATATGAGACTTTTGTGTTTGTAGCAGATACAGGTCTTATAATGTATATAAATTATTTTATAATGTAGATGCAATGCATTATAAAACCTATAAGCATTCTTATTCAAAGACATGAAAGCTGGCAAAAATAGTATAAATCAAAATTTTGGAAAATTGGGTATTTCAAACATGCTTTCCAGTAGAGAAGAAATGAGACTTCAGGACTTGCCACATCCATCAGGGGTGTACCCAAGGAAGGACTGCTCAAAATAAACTGTTAGAAAATGTATGTCAGTTGTGATTAAAAACATAAAAACCACAAGGTGGTGTGGGCACACCTTTAATCCCAGCACTCGGGAGGCAGAGGCAAGCAGATCTCTGTGAATTCCAGGTCAGCCATGTCCACAAAGTGAGTTCCTGGACCGACTCCAAAGCTATGCAGAGAAACCATGTCTTGAAAAATCAAAAGAACATAAAAGCCAAATTATAACTTTAAGGTCTGTCTCTACTCCTTACTAAGCAAGTGGCCAGGGACAAATCAGTTAACTTACATGCTTGTTACTGTCTTCTCACTTAGGAAGTGTAGACAATAGTATATGTCAACATATTAAGATGAGCCTAGGGACCATCCAGTAATGACCAACCCCCCCCCCAAACTCAATAGCTCGTATGGACATCCCCATTCATGCTAAGCTTTCCACAGATAGGTCCATTCGGTTCTCCAGGGACACCATAGGCCCACCATTACCTTAACTGTCTCCTTTCAGCCATCCCCTCAGACAGGAAGCACAGAGAACTCAGACGTTAGCTCTCTCGTGTTTACACCTCTTATTGACCCTCTTCATTGTTGTGAAGTAGGAAGAAAATAATAAAGTTGAACTGATCTTTAAAAAAAATCCAATTTAGAAATGGCAAAGTCTTTACAATATAGAAACAGACGCCCAGACAAAATTTAAATATCTCTTAAGTTATCCACCTGCAATATCAGGGTTTTAGGTCAAAGTCAGGGATGCTTCTAGATTATTCCTAGTGGCAGCTCCACTACCAACCTTTGGAAGAATGTAGGACATCCTTGCCTGTAGCATGCAGAGAACAGGCAGCCTGGAAGTCAGTCGGGTGTGCCGTTTCCAAATTTGTACTCAACAGAAAACGCAGAATTCATGATGATGATGGGGAGACTGTTACAGGTCTAAAAGTGTATTGTAGCAGCTGTTTACTAATTATTTCTTAACAACACGATGCTTATTGTCTAGACCAACTGAAATTCCAAAAGTAAACTGTCATATCGAAAACTACATTTATGCCTTGACAAGGTCTGTGACAAGAGGCAAACTGACAGGTGTGTGTGTGTGTGTGTGCGTTATTCTTTCTTATTTTATATCTCACCTGCAGATTCCCCTCCCTCCTGTCCTCCCAGTCCTTCCCCCACCATCTCCCCTTTCTCCTACATCCACTCCTTCTCTGTTTCCCTTTGGAAAAGAGCAGGCTTCCCAGGGATATCAACCAACTATAGCATAAGAAGTTATGACAAGATAAGGCACAGACCCTCATATCAAGACTGGCCTAGGCAACCCACTAGGATGAAAAGGGTCCCTATAACAGGCAAAAGAGTCAGAGGCAGCCCCAGCATCCACGTTGTTAAGAAGGTAACATGTAAAATAATAAGTGCATTGCTCTCAATAGAGAAGGCACAGTTAGACGCTCCAGGTGGCTCTTGATTCCATCTGAAGGGCGAAATTAAACAATCAGCAATGCCGAAACAATTGAGCTGCCTACTGTGTCTATTGAAGGGTGTGCCTGGCAAAGACTAATACAGTTATTTCCCAGTTAAACAGACTCAGATTCAGAGTGTTGCTCCAGTTATTTCACAGGTGACAGGACGGATGGCAGAGGAGCCCTGTGGCCACATCATTTACCCGAGCGATTGCCCTTTCCTGTTCTCTACTTCCGTCCGACCCTCGGATACAGAGGAGGCAATACACTGAGCGTGAACCCTGCCCCAAACAGTCCTGAGAAAAAACTAAGGACTAGAACTATTGCTCTCAGCTGCTTGACTGAGCTGTCCTCCGTCGATTCAGAAACACAGTTGTTGTCCCCAACATCCCAAACACTTTGATTAAACATCTTGTTGTTGGTTTTCCTGGATTGGTGTTCCTTCTAGGATCTACATAATATCACCTAAACTTATGAATGCCTGGAAATGCAGTTCATTCAGACAGCAGTCTGATCACATGGTTGACTTGACAGAAAACAGTAGCTAAAGCTGCTAGACCATACCTCTACCTGATGACTCGACATGATTCTGTTTATCTTAATGAGGACTATAATGGCGTTCCTAAATTCATCTTTCTGATCTTTAAGTGTCATAATATCGGTGTGTGTTTACGGGTATGGTATGATAATACCGCACGTCCATACAACAAAAGTCAGAGGAATTGTCATTTCTGTCTCTTTGAACACATACATTTCCACATGTGGAAATTTTGGACTCTTCTTAACTACTATATATCAAACAATCTAAAGCTACACACTGTGCTGGAAAACACAAGAACATCCCCATCTGTCTGCATTTTGATACGCATGACCTAACCTTCCTACGCCTCCTCTCTCCCTCCCGCCCTCGTCTCTGGAAACCACTATTCTACACCCTGCTTTGCGGGTCCACACTGCTTTGCTTCTGCAAGTGAGTGAGCTTGCAGAAGCTTCCTGAAGGGACTGAAGCCAGCTCCAGCAACCATGGCGCATGCTCACTCGCGGCTCTGGCAGACCTTGCCCTTCTCTCCGATACCCTCTGTCTGGCTAAAAACCATTAGATTCTGCTCGTAACGCTATCCGTCAAGATCTATTCGTTATTTGGCCGCTTCCTCCTCCTCGGGCTGACTACCCAGGTCCAGCTATCAAAGTATTGAAGTCCAGCAATCAGAGGTTCCCTTTGGCTCCCCTAATTAACATGTCCAATGGAAATTAAACACCTCATCCTCACTGGGGAGGAGGGGCCCATTTAGCCTTTATAAACCACCATTTTCCTGGGCGCCATGTCTGTCTCCTCTCTACCCAGAGGCAGTCCTCTGTTCCTCAGGACAAATACTCCTACCCCATCTCCTTTCCCTCCTCCTTAGAACCCCATGTCCTGTGTTTGTCTCTTACTCCCTGGCCTCTGTCCCTCTGGGGCAAATGTAGCTCCTTTGTGCTGAGAATGTGGCCTTGGGGGTCCTGAGCTGATGCTTCCCCTTTCGTTGTCCATCTTGAACAATGTTTACAAAAGAAATCTGGCATATTTTTATCCATTTCTAAGAATTTGTCGATATTCTTCCTTTAATGGGAAATCTTCCTACGGTAGTTTCTTCTGAATCGAAGCACTCCCTACAGGAGGGAGCTAGAAAAGCTCATGAGACTCTGGGGGAAGCAAGCCTCTCTATGTTTGGGAAAGCTGAAACTTGCTGGATTCCGAGGGACTGACTGCTCCTAGCCACAGGGCTACAGAAGCAGGGGACACCTCCTGGGGAGGGAGACTCTAACCAGGGGAGGGGTGCTGCAGACAGGAGGCTCTCAGACCTGTCAAGCTGCCTGCAAGCTGTCAGAGATCCCCTGGGACTTTGCTTCTGTGGGTCCTCACCTATAGGGGGTGGGATCCTCAGTGACCTTGTCATTTTCTTTTTAAGATTTATTTATTTATTACACACACAGTGTTCTGCCTACAGGCCAGAAGAGGGCACCAGATTGAATTGTAGATGGTTGTGAGCCGCCATGTGGTTGCTCGGATTTGAACTCAGGACCGCTGGAAGAGCAGTCACTGCTCTTAACCTCTGAGCCATCTCTCCAGCCCGACCTTGTCATTTTGCATCACCCCTGCTCCTGTGAGTATCCCCTCCCCCACATTCCCGTTATTGACTCCAATGAAAGCTCTTTAGTTCACCAACTTGGAATTTGGTTCAGCTGTTCCTTTGGCTTATTGTGGGGCTGCCTTCTTGGCATGAGTAGATGCACATGTTATGCTCCACAGGGGGGAAAAACGTCTCTCATACAACACCCAGTGTTCAAACAGGGACCTAAGTGATGAAGGTATGTCAGGGGCGGAGCTAATGTTACAGGATATCTGGTTGATGCTGATGTGTGTACAGAGGTAGCATCCGAGGGGAAATCCTGATACGGCTTGCCTTCCTCCAAATGCTATTATTGTACAGTATGCTTTCTCATTACGGGCCGTGCCGTGCGGCTCCTACGTTGGTGCTGAAACACGAAACCCAGGCTTAGTCCTCTATCCAGAGGGAAATTCTATGTGCGAAGTCCTCGGAGATTTTCCATGCTGGTAGGGCTGGTGTGAAATTGTGTGCTAAGTGAATACAGAGACACCCTGAGAAAGACTGAAGGTTTGGAGCAAAGTGTTGTCTGTGATTGTGACCAGTAAGAGACAAGAGTATCTGCAACAGCAGCAGTTGCCTGGTACCTGAAATGGATAGTCAGAAATGATTTTGAGGAATTCGTTTGTGTAAAGGAGATGCAGCTATTATCCTCTGTGGGTAACTGGGTTGGTAAGTTGGGGGAAAAGAGAGAGAGAGAGAGAGAGAGAGAGAGAGAGAGAGAGAGAGAGAGAGAGAGAGAGAGAGAGAGAGCTTGGGATAGAAATATTGGTTTGATGTTTCTTAGAGCTGGCAGGATACAAGAAAGCAGTGCAGGTTAGATCTCTGCCAAAAAGCCAAAAACTAGGAATTTCTGGGTAAAGGACAGACATTAAAGAGATGAGGCAGAAGCGATACTCAGTTCACCAGGCAGGACAGAGCTGTACTCACCAGAGTTTAGGACATTGATTCAACAGGGATGCTGGAAGTGAGATGGGGCTTTAGCCGTTTTGGTAGGTATGATCTTTGTGAGGTAGGGGAGTTTGCTAGGCCTGAAAGGAAAGAAGAAAACAGACTGTGGGTCCTGTCCAAGTTACCAGAAAACCAATGGGGTTCCTAGGGGAAAAAACCGTCAGAAAGCTAACTGGTGTGCTTGTGGCTTTTTTTAGGGCTGAAAGCCTGACCAGTTCTTCACTAAAGGGT